TCGTAAAGGAGAGAGACCTGAGTTCGAACGCTACAGATGCGGGTGGCACGTGCTTCTCTTTCCGCCTCTTCTGCCGTCAATTCGGTTCTCCAACTCTGCACCTGGGAGATATATATATATATATATATTTTAATCATATAAAAGGTCCAGACGGTTAATTAAAACCGAATTTTAGTAACCGATTGGAAAAGATCGATCGGTGAACTATTTGCACAGCTCACCGTTGAGACTCCTAAATTCTAACGGTAAGAAGTCCATCCGAAATCGCTACACAAATGCGTTCCTGTAACGACTACGAGTAAGAAGGAACGAAATACCGTCACTCGTTCCATCTTGCGAATTTACTCGTTTCTAGAGTTTGTATTGTGTTACGGTTACGCATTAGAGCCCAATCCTGAATGACGTAAGTCTTCCAAATAATAAATAAATAAAAACAAGAGAAGGTAAGACTCCAGTGCACTCCGTTAGTACTGAGCTCAGGATCATGTCTATTATATATATATGGTATATATATAGGGTGGTTTAAAAAAAAAAAACGCTCTACCGTTTTCTATGGGAGAAACACAGTTTCATAAATTCAACGAAAACAATTCCATTGGATAGGCTATCGATATTTCACTGTCACAAGGTGTTGAAATGCTTGTCAGCTTTTTTTCAGCACTCTTGTCTAAATTGTGCAATGCCAATTTAGAGGTGAATTAAAGGTGCTTAGAGGTGGAGTATTTCACCTCAGGTGAGGTGACGACCTGTGCTCGATCGTCTCAGAATTCAGTGAATATCTCAACTTTAACTTTTCAAAGGACAAATAGATCCTATTGATACTTGACAGAAAAGTTCACGAGACTAAGTGGCTTTTTCCTTTCCGCAAGATGGCGCTGTATCCCAAGAGAGGGTGCTGTTGTTGACCCGGTGACCGAGGATGATTACTAAAAGCTCCGCTGTTCTCGAAGGGGAGAACGAATGATTCGTGCACATATGCCCTATGCACAGTTCAAAGAATTGTTCTGAGAAAAGCCCAGGCAATCTTCTCAACACCTCCCATACGTCCGACATCAAAATATTATCAATCTTATATTTTTTCCTCGAATGCACAAATCATACTTTCTCCCTTTGAAAACGGTGGAGCGTTTCTTGTAATAACTCTCGGTCACTGGGTCAACGACAGCGCCCTCTATCGGGATACAGCGCCATTTTTCGGAAGTGAAAAAAAAACCTCTTAGGGTCATGAACCTCTTAGTCAAGAATCAATTGAATCCAATTGTCCGTTGAAAAGTTAAAGTTGAAAAATTCGCTGAATTCTGAGACGATCGAGCACAGGTCGTCACCTCACCTGAGGTGAAATACTCCACCTCTAAGCACCTTTAATTCACCTCTAAATTGGCATTGCACAATTTAGACAAGAGTGCTGAAAAAAAGCTGACAAGCATTTCAACACCTTGTGACAGTGAAATATCGATAGTCTATCCAATGGATTTTTTTTTGCTGAATTTATGAAACAGAGTTTCTCCCATAGAAAACGGTAGAGCGTTTTTTTTTAACCACCTTATATATTTGTATTGTACTTACCGTTTAACATTGAAGATCTTAGCTGTATCCTGCAGTTGTAGTCATAAAACATTCCGTCCAACGACGTAGATAACGTGAAGTTCGCACATCTATTCTCTCTGTCCCCCAGAACACGGAAACGATGACTAACGTCGAAACGATGACGACGTCTTCCGGAGGGCAAGGCATGGCGTCATTCATGACTTGATTCCATTCCCGTCCCCCTTGTCCCTGGAAGAGACTCAGTAAACTCTCAATCGTCGTCTGCGGTTGCAGGAAGCAGTGGCGTAGCCAGGGTTCTGGAAAAGGGGGTTAAGGAGAACTGAGGGGGCTAAAATTTCCAAAACTTCTTCTCAGCCGGGAAGGGGTTTGGGGAGGGGGGGGGGGGGTTCGAAGGCATTTACACTAGAGTTGGGGGGGCCAGAATCAAACTTGGGAGGTTGAAGCCCGACAGTCCCCTCTCTCACTACGCCACTGGCAGGAAATCCAAGACAGCTTCGGGACTTCATATTGGCAGTTCCTTACCGACCTTTCGGAAGCGGAAGATTTAGCGACGCCATCAACCACCATCTGAATCAATGTGACATTATTTAAGGGTGCTCCGTGGACGTTTTTGAAATGTACTTTTGCTCTCCCCAAAGCTCACGTAAACAAATCAACAACTGTGTCGATTACGCAACATTGCAGAGTGTGGCAATCACACAATTCATCCTCTGATAATTTATAAGAATAGATAAGGAAATTTATCGATTAAGAGTTTTTTGTTCTACTGCTTTATCCTGGCGCGTTGAGGCCGTAGGCGAGGAAACTTCTGAGAATTATCTGCGACGAGAGGGCGCAAGACAGCAGGCAACATACCAGTTGCACGAGGAACCATGCCCGCGACTGACTCCATGCGTCCGGCTGGCATTAGGCAAGATCCAATGTTCGAACGCCGTGTTTGATATCCATGCACTCACCATGAGGGACGAAGTTGAAAAATGCATGTGAAAGCCTGAACACGCCGTTCCCGAGTCTGGGCGAATGACCGACTACCTCGTAGCTCTTCTTCGGGCTTCTTCGATTCCCGGTCTCTGATGTTCCTTTTCCTCGTGCACATGCGTAAATGAAGCGGATCGGGATGAGGGAGTCTGGAGGATCAATGACGTCATGTGCACACTCAGTAGTTCTAGCGCATTTCTTGAATGTTTTATGACTGACACGTTCTCGTAGCCAATTGCGCTTCCGAAATACGTGACGTCGAAGTTCCGAAAGGGCGGTTTCGCTAGTCTCTCAGTCCACTTCTCCTCGTTTTTCTACAGGAATCTGGAAGAAGGAAAGGTAAGATTCTGTAACGATGCCAAACGTGTGGTATCACATGCTAGGGATTGACATAGAAGTCTTGTATCAGTGGGTAATTGAGACCATGCAAGCAAATACTGGACTATACTTGCCACTGTGTGTTGAACATGGCTCTCCTTTCTCGTACAAGCAGTACTCCGACCAAATGTCCGTTTATTTGAAAGTTGGATTGAATTTGTTCGGCTGGTGTGGAATGGACTCCCGCAGATGCATGCTCCATTATCTGGGGAGAACCTGCCCTCGAATTGCTCGGAGGCAATCAGCGGATTGTGTTCGATGTGAAAGATCCGTCAAAGGTTCGCGTGCTTTATTCCGACTCTCAGTCCGCGGTCTTCAGAGTGGCCGATGGAAGCGTCCGTCCTGAGGCACCGCAAGTCGGGAGCAAGTCCTTGTCATAATCAATTACGACTAAGCGACTTTTTTAGATTAAAGATAAAGGGGCAAACATAAAATAGCTCAGAACTCCTATGCTTATATGCAAACACGAAGGATGACCTGAAAGTACCGGGACAGGTTTTGTAACTCCTTTATTCTTTGATGTGCTAGTCCTCCTATTTATCTTTTGTTGAGTGACATTTCTTGCTTATTGGTTTTCATTATATATTTCTTAAGGATTTATTTTGAACGGACTCTTGAAAATAAAAAATAAAAATTTCATGGCAGTGTGAATTTCCAATAAATTAAAAATCTAACTTCTCATTCATTTTTGCTAGGTATGTCACAGAGTCAATTTTTGAAAGTATATTTAAAAATCAAATGAAACTCCTAAGCATAAAACTTAGCTCATGAACTCCCAAGATATTACTAAAGAAACTTACGAGAACTAACATTTGCATATCAAAAACTAAAGGATTTACAGGGGCAGTCCCCGATATTGCAGACCGTTCTTGGGACAGGAATGGGGTGCAATATAGAATCAATGTTCCGATTCACCAATGTTGCATAGTAAAAATTATCCGATCATGTCCTATCCTGGTCCTATACTGTCGATGACAGGCAATACTATCCCAATGCCTCAGAGCAATATTGAGCTATTATCAGAAGTTGACAAAATCAAAACTCAAGTTTCGATTTAAATCTTATTTAAAGCACATCCTGTGACTTGTTTAGTATCATGTAAGAATTTCAAAATCAGTATATAATTCGATTTGATTGGGAAAATTTTATTTTCGAGTGGGCGATCTTGACTTCGAACCCACACATCAAATTTAAACACCGAGCATATCGAATACTCATGGGAATATTTCTCGAGGAGTTAGCTACTTAGCTATTTCAAGCATTATTTAAATATTGGCTTGGAACTTGTCATGCGAATGATTTCATGTTTCAAATCATATCACCAATTGGTGACTTGTATTATTTCAGGCTTTCTTTTCATAGAATTATTTATTGTTTAGAGGCCATGATTGGATTTGTGACTTGCCCATCCCTGAAGATTATATTTCCCCAGTACCAATATGTTGTGCAAGACTCCAATGCACAGCCAACATCGGGCTATGATCAGCGCGATTCTGGGCTACTGGGGTAGCTCTGTTACTGATAACAGAGAGGTATAGACGACGTGTCCCACGAGCAGGGCTTGCCATATAACCTGCATGACGTCGTATGTTTTTTACGAGACTAAAGTACGTGAATCCTGGAAAAAGTGAGGGAAATTATACAGTAAATTTTACTGTATAATTTCAATTTCCCTCGACGAATTAAGCAAAGAACTGTTGTTATTCGTGCTCAGATGGGAAATGGCTGCTGACAAACTGCGCAGGTCGCAACAGCTGCTGCTCAACTGGCAACCGTTTAGAAGTCACGACAGTGAAGCCAAAAGAAATGAGCTTGCAACATTTCCACTGGCAGGCCTGAGCTGCACAGGCTTCACGAAAGGAGACGATGAAAACGAGGAGGCATGCTGATAATTCTGTCGCCTGATACAGGCAAGGACTGTTTCTGCCAAGACGGAGTGCATTTATCTAATCACACAGGTGGAGTTTGGCGTTTCCCATAAAAGTTTATGAGTGGAATCCGATAAAGCAGCGTCATAGGCTCTAAGACTAGTGCTCCGGCGTCATCCCTGGAAAGACTTTTGCCTCCGTGGGTGGGTCCCCCTGGCCCCCTGCACGATGGAAGAAGTAAAAATGCAGGAATACAACCTGTACTGGGAAATGCGAATGAAAAAGGTGATCATGTTCGGAAAGAACGGCCTCTGGGAGGAAGCGAGGCGGGCCTTCAACATCCCCCAGGAACAAGGCATCGACATCCAGGTGAAAGACCCCAAGTCAGGCGAGAGGATTCTCGTCCGTGCACCGAAAGATGTTCCAGATGGCCCGGCGAAACTGTATGTAATCAAGGCGGCCCCGAGATCATCATTGCCTCGAAAACCATCCATCCTAACCATGCCTAATTCAAGGTAATCAAACTTTTCCTCCCTCACTTTCCTTAGGCTGAGGATTGTTTAGACCAGACCTTTTACATCGATATTAACTCATATTAAAATCATTACACTCAAGATCAAGATAAATTACTTAAAATGCAATTGGACTATCCTCTTACAGTGTCATCATGAATCATGAAATCATGAAATGCGGTATTTTCTATTACCACTTTGTTGCTGCCGACGGAAAAATAATAACTTGATTGGTCGGAAGGAAATATTTTGATACGACTGAATAGTTAAAGTGAAACGAGAAAAACTTGTGAAAGTTTATTTAAGCTCATACTCTAGGAATCATATTCGACTGTAACAGAATATATTTATTTCGAGCTGACTTCTATTGCTATAGATCTGTCACAATAGACAAGATAAAAAATTGTGATGCTCTTAAAGGTTGTGATGAATTGTGATTGCGAGTAGAACCCAGCTCTTGACGAAAATACTTAAAAAATCTATAATTGTTGCTTAGGTTGTGTGAACCTTAGTCTACTTGCACTTTCAGTTGGACTTTTCCCTCTACTTCTCATCGCCTCGAGCTTGGGAATAATTTCTTTTTGAACATAAACTGAACCATGATAGGTGAATATATAAAAGGATTTGTATCCTGTCAATGGTCCCACGGCAAGTGTTGCTACCGTCATTTGTTTTCAGATCTTTAGGGACTGGACCACTTCGGGATCCCCAGACGAAGCAGCATTCAACTCAATCTCCGTGAGTCCCGATTCCACGACATCATCCATTTTTCCTCTCTATATGCCACACAGTTGCAATTGCAGAGTTGCACAAAATCTCAACCCGCTGACATATTAATTCTCTCCTGCAAAAATTAAGGAGCCAGAACGATCACAGAAGCAAAACCGAGCCAGAGGGAAAAGAGATAATATCCAAGCCCAACCAGTCCAGAGTGTCACTAGAATCCAATGAATCACAAGGATCCGAATTTGAGGATGATTTCCAGGAAGTACTGGTTCATTTTTTCTCTCTTTCCTCGCGGAATCGAAATGACTCTTTGCCGGGGAGCCTCCGTGATACAATGCCTTTGTTTCGATGATTTTGGCAGGACGAGAGACCGGCCTTGGTGATGAAAAAATTGTCCACCTTTCACGGGGAAGAAAATGGCCTCCCAATCTATGAGGTTCCCAAACGGATAAGGATGTCGAAAAAACAATTGACTCTTTTGGAAATCGGAAAGAATCTGGTGCCGAGGGTCAACTACGGAAAAGTCCTGCTACTCATGGGTGAAACTGGAGCAGGTGAGTGATCTTCACTTCACTTCATGATGCAACAACACCTTGGGTAGATTCCATTCATTTCCAGAAGATCTAAAAACAAAAGGCTTTCCCCGATAAATGAAGTAGGCCTATTATAGAAGTGATCCAGCTCATCTCTTGGCTCTTGGGCCTGCGGAGGAGGTAAAGAGCAGGAGGAACCATGACCGTTCACGCAGATGTTCATCTTGAAGCATGGATATAATCATGACGTCACTGTGGCATGGTGTTCTGTTCATAGCGTGGTTGCCATTTTTTTCATCTCTCGCCTATTCATTTTTTTTCCAGGGAGACCACTCTTATCCATATATTATTCACGCTGGAGAATTTCTGGAGATTAATAGAATGCACTCCTTCATTTCTCCCCTCATGTTGGTCTTTCTCCAATCAGGTATTGGGGAATTCACATCTGACTTTCTGATTCATCTTAGGAAAGAGTACCTTGGTGAACGCGTTTCTTAACCATCGACTGGGGGTGAAATGGGAGGATAATTTTCGGTTCATCCTCGTAAAGGACGAAGAGTCTGATTTTGGGAAGAGTCAAACGAAGGGAATCACTGCTTACACGATCCATCCAACGGTGTGCTCCACCGATTTCCCCTATGCACTCACCATCATCGACACACCGGGATTCGGCGATACGGAGGGAATCGGGGCAGATCAAGACACGATCCAGAAGGTGAAGGCCTTCTTCTCCAAGGATGGCGTCGAGGGCCTGGACTGCGTCCATGCCATAGGGATGGTCATTAAGGCTAGTGCCAACCGAGTCACGGCACCTCAGGAATACGTCCTTCAAACCATTCTGTCCCTTTTCGGTAACGACGTCGGTCTGATATTCCACTTCCTCATCACGTTTGCCGATGGCACGACCCCGCCAGTCCTCAGGATAATAGAGAATAAAAACTTACCGGTTAGCAAGACGCACCACCTCTTCAACTGCGGTGCCCTCTACGTCAACAATCGAGATGATGCTAGTGGAGTTAGCAAGCTCTTTTGGGATTTGGCAACAAATGGCATCGATGAATTTTTGATATTTCTACAGGACTCGAAACCGGTCAGTCTTCGTTTGACCAAGGACGTTCTCTGCGAAAGGGAGAGGATGGACGACCTCGTTCAAAAGCTCATGCTTCAAGTCCGCAAGGGTGAGTATGAAGCAATACAAACAAAAATAATTTAGAAGTGGATCCAATATGTTAACATCGTTCCAAGCTCGTGAAAACCTTGTATTGCTGTGATATAGCCTATCGTGGCTTCAAAACTTCGAGAGTCTTGCTCTTTTTTTTTGTCTTATCTTGTGTTTAACATGCGAGTACTATTGTCATCACATGGGGATAATCCTTCGAGGTGTTGTCAGCGCCTGGATATTTATTCCCGGTTGATTTTCAACAATGCATGCTTTACAGCAGTGGTACCCAACCTTTTCTGCTAGGGGGGCCCATAGCTCACTCCCACAGCCATCGCGGGCCAGTCACTATTATAGTAGGAGACTATTTAAAGGAAACCTAAGGATATTTATTGTGGGTTAGGGCCTCGCGGACCACTTGTATAAGCACCTCGAGGGCCACTTTTTCTTCTCGAGCCATCACTGCTTCACAGCATTCATTATAAGGAAAAATGTTTTAGCATCGTTTTACTTTAGTGGTTTTGGCTGAAGTGAAGGTATGGAAGTTTTCGTATCTACCAGTTTGCTACAGCACGAGCTTCAGCTGTAAGAGGCTGGTATTGATTAGCACGGAGTGTGTCACCGGGCATGCGTCACCTCCCTCTCCGGTAATACATTAGTCATAGACCTGCAGATTACGGCAACCAGCCTCATAAAGCAATAGCCGTTCCTTAGTGGCAGGCAGCTTGGGGCGCCGTGCAGTCACCAATGGGGTTTGGCATGTACCAATAAGAATTCCCTGTGGGAATCATTCTTACATTTCATGGGGTTCCTTTTACGTTTGGAGGAGCAACCCGGCGGGGACAAGGTTGTTCCATAACAGAAAGGAAGGCGCAACAGTGCATCTATTGAAAGATAGAAAGAAAGCTTAAAACCGATGCTGTATTGCCAAAAAATGGGTGCATGGGCCTGTCCGATGAAAAAATATCCATGCACTGCGAGAGGAATTTCACAGATCAGGAAAAATGGCGTCAGTTTGTTGCGCCACGTAGGTGTTTTAGTGGCTTGTTATCTGATGATAAGGGTTTTATACACTTGTAGCTCGCATATTTGCTGAGGCTGAAATGCCACGGAATCAAGGGCGGACTGGCCATCTGGTAACTCTGGCAAATGCCAGAAGGGCAGGTCCCCTTAAAGGTCGACGGGCCCTTAGTCTTATGCAATTATTAGTCTTAAGCAACGAAATTTGCAAGAGAACATGAAGTATATTGGGAATAGGCCCAACTGTGAAAAAATATATTATCAGGCATTTCTAGTAGGCATACCTACATTTCCAGCGAAATCTCCGCATTGATAGGGCTATTCTCTGTCGGGCTGGCGATGCGCCCCTGGCACGGGGTTATTGCTAGTTCTGCGTAGTACAGTATAATTCACTCCTCGCTTTAGAAAAAAAAAGAAGAAATTTCTGCTTAACGAAAGAAATGATGGATGAAGTCAGTAAAGAGAGCAACAGAGGAAGATCGGAGGATTAAACAGGGGGCTACAAGTAGGACCTCATCAGATAGGACAAAGGAAATAGAATGGCAGGTCAGGGTTGTCAGGCGGGTCAAGTCGAGCTCAGATGACCCCCCGGTTTTGATATTTTTTGGATCCGCATGTATCTCTTCCTTGTCACCCATGTTGCACAACATCCTTTCCATGCATTCCTGCTTGCTTGAGATACTTCACGATCATTCTTCCTTACTTTTGCCCTCAATTGTTGCATTGCGATGATAACTTGTAAGGAAATTGCAAGTTCTGCATCTAATATATATAGACGATCGTGACTGACTGACTGACGCTAATTCTNTGGAAAGCTGCAACTTTGCTCAGACGCGGGTAATGAGACACTGAGTTCAGGAAAAATATCACGTTTCCGATACTTCCCCTGGGGGCATATTTTTTGGGGGTAACGTTTTCAAATAATATATTTTGTGACAGATGAGGATGTCATTCAGAGAGTCAACTGGTTGTGCTGGGTTCGGTGGTGTAGTGGTAGCATATCTGACTGGCATATCGGAAGGTCCGGGTTCAATTCCCGGCCATTCGTTGGGTTTCTTATGGCTTTTTTTGCCTTCCATGTCCCGTTACGCATTCCCCCACCATAACATTATTTTTGCTTGAGTGAAACGGAGAGACATGGAAAGCTGAAACTTGGCATGGACGCGCCTACCGAGACGTTGAGTTCAGGAAAAATGCAAAATTCAGATCCATGACCTGGGGACATATTTTTGTGAGCCGACGTTTTCAAGTATTTTTTTTTGTCCTTGCGTATTGATCTAGTGAGGAAAGATGAATCTTGGTATTTAACCACCTACTGGGATGCTGCAGAAAACTTCAGACTTTAGAAATAAATGCACTGGGGGCACAAATTTCAATAGATGTTTTCAACTAATTTATTTGCATCAGTTAAACTGATGAACATGGAAAGCTGAAACTTTGCATGAATGTCACTACTGAGACAAGGAGTTAAATAAAAATGTTAAGTTTCGATCCATCCCCTGGGGGAATTTTTTCGAGGTTTCGAAAAAAAAATTGTCGTGCGAATTGGAAAGAAATGGAAAGGTGAAACTTGGCACACGTATAAGTGACATGATGTTACTGAGCTGAAGGAGTATTCAGCTTTATTTAGCTTTAGCGTTAGGGTGGGTCGGCTTTTCCAAACATGTTTTTTCACCAGCGAAAAGGGCAAACGTATAATATTGAAACGTTGTGGGCATGTAGTTCACTGAGGATGGATTTCGATAAGAAAAAAATGGTACGTTTCGGTTAAAACGGCTCAGGGCACATATTTTGCAAAAGGCGTATTTTCACAAATTTTTTGATCCAGCATAACAGAGGGCGCATGAAAGTTAAAAAATTGGCAAATAAGTATCTGATACCTGATGGATAGCTGCGTAAAGAAAAAATTATACTTTTCTAATATATATAGACGATCGTCACTGACTGACGCTAATCCAAAAAGGGAAACGTATAAGGCTGAAACTGGGTGGCATGGAGTTCCCGGAGTCTCCATTTCAGAAGAAAAAAAAATTTTCGCTAAAACCCATCGGGGCTCTTTTTTTAAAGTCCCAATTTCCTGCATTTTTTTTTGATATAACGAAACAGAAACAGAAAATGTAAACTTCCCTCAGAAGTACCTATTTAATGGCTGAGTGCAGGAAAAATCCTACTTTTGAAATGTGTCTCCTTAGCGTATATTATTAGAGGGAAGTATTTCAAAATGTATTCTCCACCCTTACTAAAAGGAACACAAGCAAAGATTTAAAGTTAGGCACACATAGAATCATAGAAGTAAAGAATTTCATAAAAATGAAGACTTTCGACCCCATATGTCACATATTTCAATGGGGACGTACTTTAAATACGTGTTTCCCATTTCGCAAAAAATGAATAAATGAATTACTATCCAAGGTAATGGAGCGCCGAAGGCGCGACCATAGTATACGTATATGTATGACAACCCTGTTCTTCCACGACTGTCTCTCCCCCTCGCCCCCCCTCCGCCCTCTACATACGCAACGACCTGCAGATGTCTGTTTGACCGGAATTGGTCCAATGAACTCCTTCCAGGTGTCTCAAACCGACTTTCATCATCGATAGCACATTCGATTCGTAATTTGTTTTGTAGATATGCAAACTATTTTTTTTCTGTTGACATTTCATATTAATTTTGAGCCCAAATTCCTATGTAATAGATCATTCGAAAGCACTCGATTTCCCCTGTTAGAATTTATTTTAACGCTGAAAAATTTTTGACATCTGACCCTCCTGCGGTCAATCTGAGTTGAGAATGTACTGGCGCCATCTCTGTACAGTCTAGATAATTGCTCTGTACAGCTCCAGTTTTCAACTCTTGACTTGAGATCGAAGCTCAGATTTATTCTCTGTTGAGCTGAGAAGTGTTCGTCATTCTCATCCCCCGTCCCATCTCTTAGGACCTGTAATTTTTTCATCACCACCTTTTGTTCTTTCATCAAAAGCGACTTTCGTCCTGCGTACAACGAGATCTAATTTTTACTTCCGAGGGATCACCGCCCAGCCTCGGCCAATGGAATAGGGCAAGAGCAGGGCCTGGGGGAGAGTTCCCAAGTGACTATGATTCTTTTTTATCGAGAAACATTTTCTCTAGCAATCGCCATTCAGTGATCAAAGTCGGTAACAGTCTACACACCTCGTATGTACACGGGTTTTCGACTAGTACTCTTAATATACTCAAAAATCCCAGGTCGGTTTGCGAGAATTTATGAAAATGAAAATTTCACCCTTTTGACTTTTCATCCTGGACCCGCTACTACTTTTTTGAGGGGGAGGGAACCAGCCATACATCTTTTCAATAGCGTTGCCACCCCCGCAGTGCGATTCCACAGCTCCTTGCAGTTGAGAGTTGACGAACCCCCCTAACTACACCAACAATTAGGTAGGTCTAATTATTGCCTAGTAGTTTGTTTCAGTTATCAGTTTAGGCTTATAAAACACAGCCTTAATGAGGGCCGGTGCGAGTAAAAATACCAGGTCCGATTTTTAGTCCCAGTCCGTCCCTGCACGGAATCGTATCTGATTAGTCTGAATCAGACTAATCAGATACGATTCCGTGTATTCAACCTTAACGTTGAATTCTCTTTTCAGGACTGGAAGGATTGGAAGCCATCAGACACGAATACAAGAACACCAAACGGAATCGTCGGAAGCACCTGAAGAAGCCGCTGGAGATTTTGGCGAGGGACTTTGCGAAGAAGCAAGTAGAAGTGATGTGTTTGATCTCTCAGGCTCACGAGTGCCAGCAACGCCTGGATAAGATTGCACTGAGGCCTGACCCCTTGTCCCTGGTTAAATACGTAGACATGTTGATCATGGTTGAGGTAAACAGCAGTGACTCCAACTCCGACCAACGGGTGAAAGCTCTCAGGCAGGTCCGGGAAGGAGCTCAGTGGATGAGCGACATCCGGGAGAAAGGGAAACAATTCCGGCCTTTTGAGGAGACTTTAAAATCCTTGGAAGATGAGGGACTGAAGGTGAAGATCGGAAATCAGGACAGTGATGCATGTGAACTGGAATTCCTCGATAGCAAGAGAGGATTCCTGCAAACCTTGAAGAACTTCTTCTTCGGAGGAGGAGGGCGGGACTAGTCCTGATAATGTCTCTGTCATTGATGTGATCACGGCATTCTAACATATTCAAGTTTACAGATATATGCATATTTATATAAATTTCTATTTGCTTATTCATCTTGTAAGAAACATTGCTAACAAGGTCTTGTGACGTCAATGTCTTCCCATGATTTCATCCTTTGATCAGCGATCTAACGCAGCATCCGAGGATATATGGGAAAAGTATGAGCATGCTCCCTTGCTTTGAGGGCTGAAAGTTTGCATGATGCAAAGATGCAAACAGGCATGGGGCCATGCACGAGACCCAGTAGGCAGTCTCTGGGCATTCACGAACGAAAGAACGGGGGAAGAGAGGCCCGGCTCACTGGCTTGGCTTATGGCTGTGGTGTGTGAGAGGGGAGAGAGGGGAGGATGAAGGAGGAATGAATAGGGGCCATGGGAGACACCCAATGGGTGGGGTCAAACCAGGGACCTCGAATAGACACTATTATACTCCTATTCCCCTCCTCCTACTCCTCCTCCTCTTCCTCCTCCTCCTACTCCGTTCTGTGTTCCTCCACTTCCTGTGATCCGTGTATCTGAGAAAGAATCACCTTACACGCATCCTTAGTTGGATAGAATGGTTCCGCGGAATTCCAGGCCTTCTGAAAAGGCGATTATTAGACCCTCTACTGCGGATGTTTAATTTCTACTTCGTGAGCCCTTTGGTGGGCGTGACTGTTGAAGATGATGTTTCATGGATATGCAAGATGTTGCATATGGTTTGAAGAGAGGTCTTACATTATAAAGATGCACTTCAGTTACGTGCTATTCCTGGGTACTAGGCCGTCCAACTCCATTCACTTGTGACTTTAAAGACGGATATGAATGCCAGAGGGACATCATTTAAGTCCCTTAAGGTCTTTCTTCGGTTTCCCCCTGCTTAAATGAAAAAGTCACGTCATATGAAGGCAGCGTCCCATTATCCCAGCATGACAATAGAGATTCTCATGGCACACCAACACAGGCACATGAAATATGAAATGATACCAATATCAGGAATAAACGGTGAATAATGTTTAGCTTATTTTCGTTTTCAGTTTGAGTCTGCAGAGGGAAATTTCATCGCAGTTATCCTAGTCCAATGTTTCCTCGAGGAATAAGAGCTATTGCTAGACGCACCGCTACGATTTGATCATCTTCGGACCTAATATGGTGCACATACGACATGGACATGCGCATCACTTCCCGGAAAAAATGTGTTGCAAGATGCAGGGTGCATTGAAGTGGGGTCTTTAAGTAAGATACTTCAGAGCTGTTCGTCGGATTAGTCAAAGCATTCAGCCATTGCAGGGTTCGTAGGGATGCAAATGCAATGGAATAAGCATTCCATAACTTCCTATTAGCATTCCACTCAGGTCATCGACCCGAGAAAGTTCATATTATGTGTTCTTATGCGTGAAAATGGCATTGCGAACTGACAACTCGCGAGCGATGAAACCATTTGGAAAGGGCAGGTCCAGTTTCAGAAAATCTTTAGTCTCACATATATAGACGTCAGCAAACGTCAGACACGTTCTCCTTCCCTAGCAGTGCGTGGTGGAGGACACGTCCGCAGGATGGCGGAGGCGACGGCATGGGGCATGAAGCTTTGTTCTCACAACGTGCACATCCGCCATGCATAGGTGAGTCGAGCCTCATGTCAACTGCTAGGGCAGGCATCAGCGAGCTGGGTGTCGACGCGGGATGGACACGTTTCCAACAAATTAAGGTACAGTGAACTTAGAATAACTTCTTACATTCAGAGGTTTCGGCCTACATCGTATGCTATGCCTGGGAAGATTGATACTTGTTGCAGGGTTGGCCAAATTTACATGGAATGTTCATGGCTTAATATAGGCCTAGGTTTAACGTTCAGTTACGAAGCTAGCGCAGAAATCTGCCTGTGTTGGTGAAGGTCCAGTTAATTCTCTCCCCCGGTGTAAGCGCGTTCCTTAAATTCTGAAGGCGATAGACCCCCCCCTTGTCGTATACTAGTTATGAAAAATGGGTTCTTTCAGATGCTAGTGTTGCAGCAGTTCCATTCAGAGATGACATTTCTGTTCACTGAAGTTACTCGAGCTGAAAACTTGAAAGGCATTTGTTTCTTCTAGAGGTGTAGAATGTCCAGAAATCTAACATGCTCTTATGGATCTAGAGCTTGATCAGTGTCTCAACTGTATTGAAAATTAACCTCTTCTACACAGGTAGAGGCATGTATTCCTCGGGCTGCAAAGATAAATTCACTTCCAATGGCATTATGTATCATCTCCAGAAACATTCCTAGTCACCCCACTTTAAGGTAGTGCAAATGCTGAAGGGAGAGTCAATGCTACTTGCTACGTAATGCTGTTACAGGCATAACCTTTGGCAAGCTTAAGCTATAATGCCTTTGACAATAAGTTATGTCTAAAAGACCTAAAAGCTTTTTTGCTTCAATTTGTCAGCAAATGGAGTGTCAAAATATGCTTTGGAATCCTCAAGTAGGGGATTAAATCTTCATTAAATTACCATTATTCCAATGCATTCCTGTATGAATCATTGCTCAAGAAGTCTATGTTCCCACATGAAAATTCCACATTGACAGTATGATTCTATATGGCCATATATGATTGATATATTTGCCATTCATCACCATATATGATATTCATATATCAACTGTGTGGCATATAATATATTTTATCGGCATAACAACATGCAGAGTTACGGTCTAATGGCATCATGTCTGATGTGGTGAATATCCACAGATAAGTCTTATGAAAGTATAACTATAATATTGAAACTTTCAGTAGCAGGTTTGCATGTGTTAAACACCATGAAACATGAGTTCTTGGGAGTAATTGACTATGGTCTATGAAGAAGTAAAAATGAGTTAATTGCAAGAAAAGTAAGTCAAGAATGATAATACATTTGAATGATTATACATTTGAATGATTATACAGTATTTGATGGATTATGAAGCTTTTAGGTTGTGGGTATGTCAGGCATTCTCACTATACAGAATAAATTGTGGCTGATTAGCCCCAGTGTACCTTATAGGAATTACGCTATGTTCATATATGCCACATTTATGTTATACCGAGTAAATACATGACCATTTCATATATGTTCTTATATGAAAATTTCACGTGAGTCCTTCTTTCATTCCTTAGCATTTAATGGAATTTCATTGTTCCAAGTTGAGATAGCATATTTCAAAGTGAAACCTGTTGAAAAGAAGAAAAGAGAGGTGATTTATGATATCAGGCAAGCCCAATTTAAATCTAAATCACCAGCAAATTTTTGATATTTTCAGTCACTATTGTCTCGTGAATCTTGAAAATGGAATGGAAAACTTCTTACTTTTCCACCAACTTTGACACTGTTGGAAGAAGCATGATGCCAAGTGAGGAATTTGGTGGATTGGAATGTTTTACTCAAGCCCTTCTTTTAAAAGGAAATCTCTTATCAAGGTTGTTGGTTTCATTTACCTCTAGAAAATTTAGTTGGTTACAAATTTGTGAAGCTGAGTTTGTTTCTGATGCAGTTCATACCAACAGTCTTTGCAGATTTTAAACTTGCATAACTCATACTCAGCCTGACAGGCTGAGAGCAAATTGTTGTTAGGATGAATGCTGTCAGCCATGTACTAGCTTCAAACCTCCATCCACTATTCATTTTCCCACCTTCCACTATCTCTTCAAAAATTTTTCTTGCTTCATACTTGAACAAAACCTCATTGAAGTTATGCTTGGCGAAGACTCAGAATGTGATTATATTCCAAGAGGGTGAAAGGAGACGCTTGGAAGCATGCAAGGAAGTGAGCTCTATGTGGTCTGGTATGATGGGAAAACTCCCATATAACCAGTAATTGCTGGAAAATTTTCACTATAGTTCAATGATGGGTCTCCCATGAATACTTGGAAATGAGAGAAATGCTTGGCACTTAAGAGGAACAAGTGCAGATAACAGCTGGGAGCATGCAACAATAATTGTAGGTGACATCACTGAAAGGCAAGGCATTGGAAGAGATTCATTTTTTTTTTTTGTTGGCAGAGGTTGGAGAGAATAGTTTGTTTTTGAGGGTACTAGCTTCTGTCCCCTTGAGAATTGAGGGAAATGTGATTTTGCTTGGGGGTATGTAATTAACAATCAACAGCATGCTCTAACATTGCAAGGGTAGCTGAGTTTAGTCCATTCTACAAACATGATTAGTTGTGGTTGAATGATGAAAATACATAAGCCCACCTTGGGCTATGAATCCTGTGATTTCAAACTTGCCCTCACTGAGACCAGCATTCTTGTAAATGGTTAGATCTAGTTTTTTTTTAAATACCGAAGTCTGTAAAACTATGTGGAAATGTCTTTATATTCAGGGAGTTCCAGAAAGGTGATAACTGACTCCTGTCTTCAACAAGCCAGCATCATGATGCACCAGGAAAAGGGAGAGTTTGCATGTATGTGGTCAAGTCCTTATATTTTGCCATTGTGTGATATCACAACTTTTAAGCTGTGACTTGATTAAAGTAGTCATGGATGGACTCGCTGTACAGTCTAGAAGCAATTCATAAGCTTGATATTGAGGAAAGCTCCTGTGTTTGTCTTTTTGAAGAAAGTTTTGCCTCTAAGCTATACAACTGTGCAAGTATATTTTCCCATAGCAAGGTACTTCATGATCAACTCATACAAAGACATGAAGAAAAGCTGCTAATGCTTTGGAAGGGTGTCATTGTAGCTGGTAGTTTGCCCCACTATGTTGTTTCATCATCTATCATTTTAGTAGTTCATCCATTTTATGTCTGGGAACACAACCAGCCACTTTTTTCCATTAGTAGATTCATTAAGAAGTTGTGGTAAATGTGACCAGTAAATGAGTTCTTTCTTTATACATTCCTATGTTTACTAAAGGTTTAGCTGAGGAAGGGATTGGGAATGCAGATGTTTTCTGTAAAATTTTTTTTTTCATTCAAAGCATTGATTTTCTGTCAAAGATGATTATCTTATGAGCAAACATGAAACCTGTGATTTCAAACTTGCCCTCACTGAGACACATTTTAACATTGCCATATGGTGTTATCTTTGGTATATGTTTAAACTTGTTACTTGTTACTCATGACTTTCCACACTTTCCTTGCCAGCAGATGGAGAGACAGGCA